GTTTAGGGTTTGTTGGTTTAGGGGTTTAGGGGTTTAGGGCTTAGGGTTTATGGTTTAGGGTTTAGGTTTGTGGGGTGTAGTTCGACTTCGAGTTGATCTGGGATGATCTACTGCAAGGCGGTTTTGAAGATGTTCGCTTCCGCTGTGTAAGTCTTGGTCACTGCGACATTGATTCGGTAAAGTTGCTCTTGGCCGCATGCTAAAGATGATTGCCCTTGACGTTTTGGATGCTTTTCGCAGCTTCAACGGGTTGTTACATTTTTCGCCACAGCTTCACATGTTGTTTTCTCGTGGTTTCGGGTGTAAAGGTTTCGATTTGCTGGAAGGGGGAAGGATGGTCGGAACCCATTGAGTCCGCAAGCAACAATAACGATGACTGGCCACTGCCGGACGTCGGGCAGTCAGTCCTCGCAGATCCACATCTAGAGTTTGAACTATCGAGTTGCACCATAACGCACCATTGATCGCCCGTGCCCTCCCTTCTGCAGCCCCATAATGCTGCACTTGCCGCTGAATATCCCGACCCGTCGCAAGGCAGCTGCATCCGGGTCTACTTGACCTGGATTCCACGCAAGGACTGCGGATGCTGCCTGAGCGCAACCTCTTCGCCTGACATTCATCTTCTCGTATTCAGACAGCTTAATTAATATAAGAGGACTCAATGAAGTGTGATCAGATTCTGTGCAGGAGCCATGCAACTCCGCTTCAGATGAGAATCCCCAGATCCTGTTCAACACGACATGCTTCTTGCCCAGAGGGTCCGTAACTTGCATCTGGCTGTCTCGTTGAGGGCAGCCTTGATCTCAGAGCAGAGGAGTGACTTGTACTGACATGCGGCAGCATGGCCAAGTTTGGTGGGCACGAAGCGTCCCTGACACAGATGTGTCTCCATTATGCAAGCGGGCCAAGCGGGACTTCCATACTACTTCGCGGCCAGCTACTGCAGGTTGGGAAGTCGGAAAGGCCTGCTTCAATGCCATGAAGGTTCGGGGCTGAGTGAGACGTAGTAGTAAGATGACATGGCGCTGGCGCTGGTGCCGGTTGTGGTGGTGGTGGTGGTGGTGGTGGTAATTAGCAGAAGCAGCAGCAGCCGTGGTAGCAGCAGTAGCAGACGTCCAACACTAGCAGTATTTTCGAGGTGGTCGCAGAACAATGTAGTCATAGAAATAGAGGTACCCGTAGACATGTTGATAGTGGAACTACCAGTAGAAACATTCGAAACCAGAGCTGTAGAACCCAGGGAAGCTGCGCTGGTCTACCTATGTCTGACATGCGTTGTGTTGGCCTGCTTTTCGCTGCTACGTGTCTGGAGGCACGACTAACGGCAGCAGCATCTCAGTCTAAACCTGTGCTAGCCCTTCTCTGAAATTCCAACCGACGTGATACACGCGTGCGATTTGGCCTGTAGGGGGCGATAGCTGATGGAAGGGAAGGTGAGAGAATCCAATTCCGAAGCCTGACGCCCCGGTAGCCCCTTCCGTCCAAGATGGGTTCCGTGCACAACCACCACATGACCTCCGTGGAGGCCAAATCGCCTTGGCTCCGGGGGGGAGTTGGGACATACGAAAGGGAGCTCGATGACGGCTTCCCGAGTCAAAAGAGCTTGCCGGGCCAGGGGCATCAGGCAGGCACTTTCACAACTACGTCACTTAGACTTCAAGCTTCAAGATTTGCCTGTGTAGGGATACAGGCATGTGCTCCGAAGTTTCGGGGAATCTACGGGTCATGTGCTTCAAGGGCCCACCTCGTCGTTTCGGAGTCGGCATGTCATGAATCTCACCGAGCCTGAGGCAAGACATGTTCATTGTGAAGTTCAAGCGTGCAGCAACCGTCACTCATGGTGGCAAGTTCGAGACGGACTTTGTGAACATCCCTCACATCAAGGACTCCTGTCGGTGTGCTTTCCATCATCGCAGATTTGCCTACAACAAGGGCAACGATGATAATTGATGATCGTGGTAATGGTAGAGGTGATGGTGGCAGCCGTGGGTGGGAGCGAGAGTAGCAGTAGGGGTACCGGTGATACTGTAGTGGTAGCAATGCCAAATCTCAAATCTGCAGTCACCGAAGGACTCCGTGTTTGCGGCCGTGATGCCACAGAATCTCCCCAAAAAGTCCTCGAGTCAGGGCCAGTGCTGGCCCCAACTCTGTTTCTGTTGGCTGGAGAACGATGGTAAGGAAGGAAAGAGGGGTGTTAGCTGGGGACCAGAGTTGAGGATACTATAAACCCTAAACTATAAACCCTAAATTATAAACCCTAAACTATAAACCCTAAACCCTAGTTATAAGACTTGCGACCTCAAAGCTCGGAGCTCGGGCTCCGGAGTGTCAACAAGTCTACAAAAGATCTGGATGGGTTTAGGGTTTAGGGTCCCCATACCAGGTGAGGGATTACACTGTTGTGAGCGCGTTTTGTAGCAAAGGATCGCAGAATCTGCTAGAGCATGCTACAATAGAGGCTTTAGCCTGTTGGCCAAACCTACCGTTTGCAACTGTGAAAAAAAACACCCCTACCCCCAAGACGCCACCACGCGAACTTCGATTGGCCCAAACCCTGAAGTGAAAGTAGGTTGACAGCGATTCACCCGAGGTCCATCTCGTTGCCTCAGAACGAGCAGTTCTACACGGCGGACTCCATGTGGGTGAACTTGGGTGAGGCCTCTCGAGGGTTCCGTTTCTGATCTCAATACCCGGCCGCTGTTTCTCCATCTCAGTCCGAGTCAACTATTCCGACTTCCGCTCGCTACACCCCTTTTCCACCCGACTGCTTCTGGCCAGACGCCGGTCTTCAAGGGCTGCACCAAGTGCTGGCCGCGAGTCTCAGTCGTTCTAAGTCAGGGTAACCTGCGTAGGCTGTAGGTTGCAGGACAGCCTTGAGGTTCTGGGGGTGGGGAAGGCTTTGTGTGTTAACGTGACAGTGTGTCTGGTGCACGAATCCCTGCTAGTAGCGGCGTCTCGAGGTGCAACTCTCTGTGGTACCGTAGTACTGACACAGACCATCCAATTTGCACCCAACGACCTCTGAAATCGTCACTGGAAAGTGCACCCCGAAAGGCCGGGGTTCGCTGCCGAGGTCCCTTGCCAAGTGGCGTCAGGGCGTCCACACCTACAGATCCGAGGGTCTCAGCAGCTCCACTGCATTTATGGGTTCCTTCATCGGAGGTCTACAGAGTCTTAGTGCGCAGGTTTCATGATCTTTGGCAGACGTTTGGCATTGCTTGAAAGCATGCCTCTTAGCAGGGCCGGTTTGATCCGGTTTGGGGTCTTGCTAGATCATGGTTCTGTCACATGAGCTGGAGTCAGGGGCTCTCGCGGATGACTTTCCGGACTTGTGTTTGGCTTACACTTGGTCCGAACGTCGACAGGCTTGTGACAGGAAGCCATGTGGGTGTCACAATTTCCGACCCCAGAGTATAATGTAAGCCCCTCAACGTCGTGCCAGAAGGTCAGGCGCTTTTGCAGGCAGAGACCTAAACTGCTTCCAAAAGTTCCGCGAATGCACCTTTGCTCGGATGCGGAAGGATTCGTGGAAAGGCAAGGCTGTCTTGTTGGTGTGCGCAAGCTCTGTTTGGCTGGGGTGGTAAGACAAAGAAATGTTTTGCTGAATGACACGTAGCGCACTGCGGAGGCAGAACGTGTAGGTTTGCTTTTTGGCGGAGGATGGCGGAGGTGCGGTTGTTCGCCGCGAGGGGATGAAAGGTTACACTAACATGGGGGCACGAATGATTAGTTGTGCCAGCTTCCTATTCTTTAAGGGTTCCCTACGACAATGCAAGTATTAGTATAATCCCCCTTCAGCAAACATCCACTTCACATTATCAAGGCCCAAATGTTGCACCCTAAATCGTGCCATCTCCATGCCGGACCTGCAAGCAATTGCCTACTGCAGTGTCAGGGGTATTATGTTTTCTGGTTCTTGTCAGCCTTTGTCATTGGATTGCCTTGCTGGGGGTTCGGAAGCTTTCTCCGTCATGTGCCGAACAAGCGCTTCTTGCAGCTCAGGCTTCATCAATGTGACCAAGAGAATCAACGTCCACAAGAAGGCCTGCCGTGGAGCCACAGTTTGGAATCCCTGTCTCAAGAGAGGGAGTCGTTGTTGCTACGGCCCCTGTGCCGTAAGAAGCAGAATGCCACGGATTATGAGTTTGCTCTTGAGTCTTGTCTGGTACCGGAAAGGTGTGGTTCTTCTGTTCAGTGAAGAGACCCGAAGATGGAAGGAAGTCTACTGGGACTTGGATGGCACCCTTACTGGCACTCCCAAGTCGTACACGACCTGGGCTGATGCGCGCAGCACTCGGCTGGATTTAAGCTTGAGGGATGCTCGTATGTCCGGATTGGGGCCCTCGGTCTACGTGCCTTCGGCTTCTTCTGGGCGCTCTCTTGTTTTCATGTTGGATGATGCTGCCTGCTACGGAGCCTGCAGTTTTCTAGAGGTCAGAAGGAGTGCCAAGTTCACTGCGTACCCTGCATGTCTGTGCAGCTCGCTCTATACTCTATAACCCAAGTGACCGCGAGCAAGAAGCCCGCAATCGAGGCGTGCTCCTAAATCAAGTTACCACCCTGGCAGCCGCACTGTCCCAGGTTCAACTTGGGCCATCCTGGTTGCAAGTATACCCACGTCGGCTCGACATGTCTTGGACCGAAGATCCCTAAGTCCATGGTGATCGGCGAAGGCCTGAGAGGCCAAGACTCCGTAGATAATATGGGGGGTCCTAATAGCTTTGGGGGTATAGAATACGTATTGTATTTATGATAAGGAACCCCAAAATAGTATGGGCCCCTATAGTATGCCCCCGGGGGCCTGGTGGACAGGCCGAAGGTGCCAGCTGCCTGAACTCGGAGCTGTAACGATCAAGTCCCTGACAAAGGGAAGCTTAGTTAATCTAGTTCTTTTCCGAGCCTTAGCAGCCTCAAACTGGTGTTGGAGGCTCTGTATGGAGCCAGGTGAACTTGAACGTCACCGACGACGGCGGCTTGGAAGAAACAACTTGGTCCGGAGCTCAAATAGCAGGGCGAACTGAGGTAGGCTCAGGCTCAGGTCGTTGTTCTTGTGCCCCAATGATGAAGTGCAGTGCTGGATCCGTTGTACTTCAATGTAGCTGCGATTTCGTGTCGGAGTGCCCCAGATCCGACAGACATCAATGTTGTATGATCTTCTACACAACACCTTAAGTTCTGGCAAGAGGGCATTGTGCGCACTGCTATCGTTTCGTGCCGTTGCTCACGCTCTGATGCATGTTATATTTTATGTTACTGTGTTGTTCGCGAGCTGGCATGCTGCTCCTGGAGTCCATGTGCACCAAGGTACAGTGACACGGACATGTGGACAGACGACCCCTCCATCTTCAAAGCCACCCTTGAATTCCAGCATCGGCGCAAGGGGGCCCGGACACATGTTCGTGCGGCAGTGAACCATCGGTCTTTAATTGTTCGTAGTTTGTGCTTTCGTGTCCGTTCTTCATTGCAATAATATGCCATGTAACTCGTCACGACTAATGTCAGTCATGTCGCAAGAAGGTATCTTGAAGAGGCATAGAAAAGAAAAAGAGAGAGGCATCTGTCCTTTCTTCCTGGCCTGGTAGAGAGAGCGAGAGAGAGAGAAACGCAAACACACGCACAGAGAAAGTACAGTTGTTCGTGTGCACATATGCAGATCACACGCCGTCACGCCGGCAGATGCATGTATGCATGTATGCGCGCATGAATACATGCATGCACACGCACACAGACACAATCACTGGAAAGGGAACGAGCTTCGTCAACCAAGCATGCTGGAAGCCCCAACTCAGCGAATTTGGCAGTGATAGTTCTTGAGCCGGAAGGCTCGCTAAGATCCAGGGAAAAGGAGCTGACATGCTGGACAGTCTGTAAACTGGTATCGGACTTCGCTGCTCACAGCTGCCCAGTCCGAAACAACACCTACATGACCTGCACCACGCCCATCCGGAAGCTGAACATCGCATGGCCTGAGCCGCAGGAGGCAGCCGAGCGTTCCGGGGTCGTCGGACTAGACCAGCGGTATTACAATAAAGCTTCACAGCCTGAGAACCGGAGCAGCTTCCAGTGGAGCTGCAATGGTAATTACATGTGTACCGGACCAACAGAGCCAACTGTGCAAGGCCAAAGAACAGTCTGGGTTTTGGGTGTTCGTGTCGAAAGCTCGGAGCCCCGGCAGGAAGAAGCACCCCCACTCGTCGTAACAGCAGGCAGAGTTTTTGACCTGTACGTAGCTAGCTTAGTAGAAACGTTGGTACTTACTAGTGATACTAGTGAGCAGAATCAATATTTGCACTTCCTGCAGACTTGAGGAGGATGCTTATGGTTAGTGTACAGGTGTCATTTTTCCATGTACTTTCAGTTTGTTATCATTGGCACTCGAATTTTCTTTGAAGGTGGTGGATGGTTCTTAGTGCGAGGACAAAGATGACTCGTACTGGAATTGCTCTTGTGACATCCTTCGCAGGTTCACCTGCGCGAGCTGATCGTGACCAACTTGGACACAGGGCCAATCGCCAAGCTCAGCGTCTGCTAAACTTCGAGTACGCAGTCCTAACTTAAGCATGAGTTGAGGGTCTAGTCGTCTGTGGTAAGCCACGACCACCTTCAGGATGTGATGATAATGAGGATAATGGGACGGGTTTTGGGAATGGTAATATCTACGATTCGGGGCCATCTAATGCACAAGAGCTCCTAGCCCGACGGCTTCTGGAAGGGCCGTGCCCCTCTCCAGACGGCTTGAATATCGATTCGAAAATAGTATAAGATTCTGTATGGATATATATATATATACACATACAGACACACACACGTACAGAGTATGTATGTACGCGTGTGTATGTATGTGTGTATGTATGCATGCATGCATGCATGCATGCATGCATGGATGTATATATGTATCTATGCATGTGCATACATACATACATTCAGTCATACAGACATACATACACATAGACATACATACATACAGATCCCACGCATCGCCGAGTCGGCAGCTCTGGAGTCTTTTGAGGCTCTTCTTCGCCCATGAATACGAGAAGCTTGAGCTGTGGGGCTGGGCATTCCCGGCCGGGAACTCGTTTCCATTCTGCCGATCACCGCAGCGACCGCCATCGATTAATCTGAACTCGCTACATAGGGACCCGCCGAGGGAAGCAATCACCATCGCACGTGTTTGCATCTGCACGCCCAATTTGCAACCATTGCATGCTTGCGGCCTAGCTGCTAAATGGAGTCCTTGAAGAAGATTTGACCAGAGCCTTGCAATCCGGAGCTGGCCTGTTTTTTCCCCTTCCAGGATCTGGGGTTGCGCAGGACTCCAGCCGATTATTAGCTCTTAAAGAGCTGACCCCATGGGTAGACTTCGGTCGGTGTGTTTGCGGATGGATGGTTACGTTCGCTTCTTGTCGATGTGGTTCTGTTATGTGCTGGTGTTTGCCAGATCTCCTGTACTTTCGTGGCAAAGGATCCGTTACAGGGCTGGGTTAGACCCTTGGAGAGGGTGCCTTTGTCAAAGTTCTCCTTTCGAGGGCTGTCGGCGAATGTGGCCGGAGTGAGGGGCAAGTTTCTCAGCTAGAGGGTCTCTGAGGCCTTGATCCCACGCCTGTCAAGGTTGTGGCAAACCAGCGCATCGCTATTCGTCCGAACTTCCTGGGCTGCGGGCCCAGCGTTCGCAGCGCTTTGTGCAACCTGCGTCGGTCGATTGAGCAGAAGAGTCGCCAATGAAAGTCCTCCTAGTGTCCTTAGTGAGCTCGTCTGGCATGAGCTTTGTCAGAAGCTCCGGCACATGCCATTCATCTGTGGCTCTTGGCAATCCTGGAGATTCGGAACTGTGGCTTAGCGCATCGAAGGAACATGACCCGGATGTCGCGGGAGCATAAGCGTCTTTGACGGCTACGACAGGTCTGGAGCAGCTGGGGTTGCTTTGCACAGCATCGCACAGCAAAGACTTCGAACTGTGAGACCTGCACGCAAAGAACACTGCGCGAGGCCCATAGCGACCTACAGCCAAACCCTTGCATACGCCCTTTGCGTCCTACATCCCGAAATGCCGCGCCTTAGGACAGAAAACCCATAGAAAAGACTAGACCTAGGTCATCGAACCAACACCCCAAAGCCCACACCCCAAACCCCCAATTCACACCTGGTGACCTGATGGAGTCCCAGACTTGGTACTTCTTTTTCCACACCGAAAAACCCAAGATCCGTGACTCTCCGAGAAGAAGTGCGAGTCGGACCTGACATCGTCCATGTGACCCGTCGGGTCTGCCTCGGAGCTTTTCGCTACAAGGTAGCAGCAGGAGAGCATGCTGCAGCCTCTTCCGGAACCTAAACCTCTCTATAACCCACAAGCCCTAAAGCACCCGAAACCCTAAGCCCCAAAAATCCGAACCCCAGTAGAGCCCAGAGTCTCCCGAAGCTCCAAGGCATGGACTTAACGCAGGCAGGCCTCCGCTACTCCTTTAGCCCGGCCACCCAAAGGGCGCGGGCTTTGCTTCGATCTTTTGCTTTCTTTCTTTGGGGCAGGTGGGGGATCGGATCTGGGAAGTTGGATTTGTGGGGGTGTAGGGCTGGAGGGCTTACGGTTTAAAGGGTTTATGGTCGGAGACCACTGAAGATGCATCAGTTCTACGGTTTGGTTGACGACTGGTTGGAAGGCATGTCTGTGACTTGCGTATACGCATCAAGTTGCTTTGTCTTGCACTCGTCGCTGAAGCCCAAGGCCGTAAACATCTTAAACCTCACAAAGAATCATTGCAATCCTAAACCAGCACGTGTTTAGCCCCCCAATAGCCAAGAGCTAATCCTGAACGAGCTGGCCTCAGGCGACCTGCTCGCGGCGAAGCAGCAGGATGCGTTGAAGAACAAGCAGGTCTCGCGGCAGTCTCTACTGTGGCTAGTATCGTAGTGTTAGGATGCCTGCTTTCATTCTTGCAATGTTTACGGCGGTGACTTTGGGCAGAGGACCTTGTTATGTCCGCCAATGTTTCAATGCTGCTTTGCTATGTTTTGCTTATGTCGCGAAAATAGATACAAAAAAATAAATATAAATAAATAAATAAA